TTAATGAATTATAGTGATTTGCTTAAGAGACCCTTAAAATACAGCATCTTTCTTGCGTTGTATATATCCCTTAATCATTATTGTATCTCTGCTATTTCAGATTCTTCGAGAATGAGTCAATAATGAAAGGTATTCCGGTTAGGTCTGTGGAAGTTCCCATTACTTCTTCGGCCGTTATCCACAACGTAACTCGAAAAATATTTACCGTTGCTTTAGCGATAACTGCCTTTTCCGTTAACAGAACGGGAACTATTAGTTAGTTAACTGTGCGGTAACTGTTTCTTGCTCTCTGTTATTCTGCATTTCTCTTAATCATATTTTGAAAATTAAGTTTATGGAAATAATCATAGATGCTAGGTTTATATTGCTTGTCACTCTCAATGGGTCAAAAAAATAATGCTTCGGGGGCTTTACTGTACTTAAGAACACTTTCTTTCGAGAAATAGTTTGATTGTTATGTTTTAAGCTTTCGCGCCACTCTGTACGACCTTGCATCAAAAAGTTACAGGCATTTTCCTACAACTCCTAAAATTGAGTATTTCATACAGCGTTCCACTATATAACAGTTACACCTGAAGTGCGTCCCAAGATTTTTAATAGCGGTTTGTCGTAGAGAATTCATTCTTTTTTGTTTTAAAGTGGAAAAGAAACTACATCGACTAACCGCGTCGATTTTTAAATTAGGTCTTGGTTTTTTGTCAAACTGAGGATTTTCGGGTTTCGGAGGTTGTTGGTTGCCTGGAAAACCAATAAAGACTTAATCGAAAAATCGGCGCCGGTCAGTCGATGTAGTTAAGTGTCTAGTTTAAAATAAAACAAACACGAACTCTTCAGCTTGAAGTATATTAAAAAGTCTTGGGACATCGTTCAAGGTCCATTTTGGACTTGATCTCTGGAAAACTCCTAAACCGTAAGATTCGGAAACAAAAAAATTTTTTCATTCCCATAACTCATTGTACCGAAGATTTATGGAAAGTTTCGTCAAGATCGGATGTACGGTGTCGGAGATAATTTCTGAGGGAGGGGGTCCTCAAGTAAAAGGTTTTTAGCACATGTATTGCGAAAGAGGAAACACGCAGGCTTTTACTCCATGTTCTTTTTATTTTTGAAGTATAATACATCAGTTACGATAAATGTATCGCTGAAAGCTAACTTCTTTTTCTCTTTGGCTCGACATAGTCATAAGAAAGAGTACAAAAACGACGAGAAGAATGCCGTAGTATATAGATTATCCGGCGGGTACTTCCGTACAGGTCCGCCCACTTTATACACGACTTAAAGTCAGGAAGGTTTGACTATATGCAATCGATAGTCCTACTAAAGGTAACTTTTTGATGCAAGGTCGTACAGAGTGGCGCGAAAAAGTCATTCATAGTTACAAACAAATAGGCACCATAATAAAACTTGAAGCGTGAAATTTCTGTACCTTTTCCAACCCTGTACCTTATCCACAAATCAGATTTTCTCCACTGACATTCGGAAAGAATTTTTGACTGGAGGAACTTATCTGCATTAGCAGATATCACTCGTTTTATATCGTGTTGGACGAGCTCAAACTCTAACAAAACATAACTTTATTTATATACACATGAAAGCGGCTTTCAAGTTTGTTCGTATGACGCAATAATGAAGTCAATAGCATCTGTTACTACTTCATAGTAAGCGTAGCCGTGAGGCCTACTTTGACCCTTCCTGGCTTCCTCCTTCGAAAACTACACATCAGTTCTTCGAGATCTTGTTAGCCCACACACTACTCGACTAGTGCTACAAAAGGCGTAAGCTATTGACTTTAGCCAAGTGGTTTTTCTTGTGGTGGTTTTCTAGATATCCCGTCAAAATTCTCAGTTGCTCATAAATATTGATTCCAAACTAACCTGAAATTCGGATTCAGCATGTCATTTTATGGCTAATTTAGTATTTTTTCCCGTTCCTGACCATATCCAGGTGACAGGATTTTGACGGGATTTCTAGAAAACCGCCACAAGAAAAATCAAACTTGGAAGCCACTTTCATGTGTATATAAATAAAGTTATGTTTTGTTAGAGTTTGAGCTCGTCCAACACGGTATAAACGAGTGATGTCTGCTAATGCAGATAAGGTCCTCCAGTCAAAAATTCTTTCCGAATGTCAGTGGAGGAAATCTGATTTGTGGATAGAAATATGCAACTTTGTATGCTCTTCTCGGCTAGCAGTATAAGAACGCTTGAAAGTATTAGATAAGGTCAGATTTCGCTGTTCTGGCACCCCTAAAAATGCTTCAATTCAGAATTTATGGCCGAAGAAAACCGTGTTCGGAATAATTTTTCCATGGGGCGACAGGAGTCTTTACATACCTGTAGTAGGACTATCGATTACATATAGTCAAACCTTCCTGACTTTAAGTCGTGTATAAAGTGGGCGGACCTGTACGGAAGCACCCCGGCGTAACTTATTTTTCTTACATAATTCTTGTGAGATGGCGTTTTTCTTTTCCTATATAACATATACTCCTATTTCATATACGTGCATCAGTCGTAATTAAAAAAGAGTTACCGTACAGTTACCTAACTGATACCGTTATTTTAACAGTAACTAACTTATCAGTTAGCGTTAAACCAACGGTAACCGTCTTTCCAGTTACCATTGATTTAACGCTAACTGATAAGTTAGTTACCGTTAATTTAAGTTCTCTATAACCCTATCTAAAATTTTCGAAAATTCTGTGTCCCAAGCGAACTTCCCGGTGTTTTGCTGAAAGGTCTGACGAACATTTCCAATTACTCCACTTGGGGCAACTGGAAACAGCAATAGAAATTCATAACTGGGTACGCCATGTATTTTACACGAGAAATAATTCATTAGTAAAAAACAGTTTTCTCGTTAAGCCAATGATACTAATTAATAATTTTTGCACTGTGAACAAATGTAGCGGTTCGGCGAGATTCCAATATTCCAGTTCGAAAAAGTTCAGTGTTAAAGTTTAAATTTAAAGAATAGAAAAAATAGAGTGAAATTAGAAAGATACTTTCTAGAGATCCCCTAAAGAACCATAATCACGTAATATTGGAATCTCGGCGAATCCTATCAATTTCTATTGCTGTTTCCAGTTGCCCCAAGTGGAGTAATTGGAAATGTTCGTTAGACCTTTCAGTAAAACACCGGGAAGTTCGCTTGGGACACAGAATTTTCGAAAATTTTAGATAGGGTTATAGAGAACTTCCACCTCTACCGATCTGTAAAAAGCGCGCGAAAAGATAATTAATATTAACAAAGTTATACGAATTAGAAGTCTAAAGAGCAAAAAAGCGTTTCCAATTGCCCCAGTTTACTCTGGTTCTTTCGCTCTCGATTTATTCACTCAGGGTACATACTCAAATCTTGCGCAAGTGCCCCTCGCACTTAAGACTTCATTCTGAACATCTCTCATTACCATTAATAAATGCATTAAGTATGTGTTATGATTGATCTCGTCTAATACTTAAAAACAATTTTGATAAGAAACTGTTTTTAAAAGACAAAAAGCAAAAGCAGAAAAATCAATTCCAGGTCTGAAAGCAGGAGTTTTATCAAATCTAATACTTGTCACTAATATGGTGAGTACAGGTACTGAAAGATGCTGCAGTTATTTTAGAGAATATCTTCAAAAACTAAAGAAGGTAAAAGACTACAAACAATCCCTAACAAGAATATTTTCTCTTGGCATTGTGATCGATGACATACACGAATTATTTCACTACTCTTTATACCTAAGGTAAAGACCAATATATTATGGATTCTGACTCTTTAACGATCAATTTCAATCTTTAATCTGTTTAATCTATCTGTCTATCCTTGAGAATAACTGATTTGATTATACAAGATCAATTTTCTCCTCTACAACAACAACGACAAAGTTTCGATTTCACCTCTCTAAACATGACATAGTTCTAACATTGATCTGCGATATATTGTTTCACCTATATATCTTCAGCTTGTGATGAGTTTAGTTAGTTTCTCCAGATTGACGGGAAACTCTTGCATATTCTGGTGCAGCTCGGTGGATCTCACTGAATAATTTTCGATTCTAATCAGTTTTATCATCTTTAAGGTTGAGAAGATTTCTCATCATAGAATCAATAGTTTTTGTGGGAATAATAATAAAACAGTTAACTTAGCTTTAGGCATCAAAACACTTCAGAAAATTAGTTTTAATTTTCACGGGATATATGTAAAAAGAGGCAAACTTCTCCGTGCGAAACTACAAGATGACGGTAAGATACGAAACTCAGGAGGGAAGAACGGATTGGAAAGATTAATTAAAAGGACAAATCAAAGACGTGAAGATCAAGAGAATTTGTCTGCAAGACAAGTCTTATCTTATTGTTGTTTGCTTTTGGAGTTCGCATTGATTGGCTATTTGTTTGAAAGAAAACCAAAAACAAAGTGTCAAATAAGAAAATTTAATTTTTTCAATGTTAAAGATGTTCGTTGAATGAGATCGTTTTTATATCTCCATATCGTTGTATCTCGAATTCTATTAAGTCTATGTTCAGTTTGACACGATTTTTGCAATGCCTTAACGCAACCTTTTCTGTAATGTTGTAAATGTGCTAGTGTGATATTGATTTCATATGCACGACAACGACGAAAACAACTAAGAGGAAAATGATTATGTAGAGTAATAACATGTTCTGTATCAAAAAATGTTTTCACATAGGCTCCTGATTTCGTATAATGAGATGATCGATAAATATGTGTTAACATATGTAAATAGGGTGGAATATTCAATTGTTCATTGAATTGGTCAATCTCAGTACTATTCTCTCCTTCGAGATCTAAAAAATAAACATGTCGTGCACTAAATGATGTATAAGTTTCATTTTTCTTTAACCAATTCCTTTGGATTTCCTGGATCATTTCTAACCAAGTTCGATGTTGTAATGGCATAATAACTTCATCAATATCAAGTAAAAGAATATAATGATAGAAATAAATATTTTTATAAAAACAATCATTATAAGGAATAACTTCATTTTGACGTCGATTAAGCATTTTTTCCTTTAAATATTTTTCTCGAATTTCAGGTGAATTCGGTTGCGAACTAGGTAAAGTTAATTTTTCAACATGAACTTTGTCTTGTTGTTGATAATATTCAAGTACTTGACTGATATTTGGATGAATATCAAATTCATAGAAAAAGATTTTCTCTGCACCTAAAAGACTTAATAATTCAATCCATTCAATCAGTTTGACACTGATATCTTTCGAACGAAAGTCTAATCCTTTCACACAAACAGCAAAAGATTGCTTTTTTCCATTCAATGGACGATTATTACGAATTGGAAGGTTATTTCCTAGTTTTGTACAATTTGTTTCGAATAATGTAACTGATCGTGGAAGACGTTCTTTTCGCGTGGCATATTTTTCTTTAGGAATTGGACAACTAATGAGAAATGGCTGAAGAATTTCATCACGATAATTTCCCCATTTTGGATGCCAAATATATTGATAGGTTGCTGATGTTATGATTGGATTTGAAGTATTGTTAAGCCAAATTAAACAATAGATTGGAATAGGTGATATACGATCAATCATGGAAAGAATTCGTATTAATGGAGAAGAACCAACTACTATACGATTATCATAAAAAGCATGATATAAATAATATGTTCCATTCGATGATATAAAACGTTGCCAATAGATGTTATTATGATCAAGATCAAGATCTTTGGGATGTGTTATTTTGCTGCATTTCTTTTTTTCGTCTTTGTTTTCAAATTTCGATTTATTTGAAATTTCTTTTTTTTCAATTATTCTCGTTGCATCATATATTAAAGAATTGTCGATTTTCTTTTCTATATTTTCCTGACGTAATCTCATATGTAATGCAAATTGAAATATCAAATAAATCCAAACTGTAATGAATAGAATTTTCAAGAATGATCGAAATAGAAAGCTTCCCAAAGATTTTCGAACAGGGTTTGATTTGATTTTCTCACCAAATGGAAAATCAACCGTCATGTTAATAACTGTTTGATTCAAGTTCAAGATATTTCGATGGAATTCTTCAATAAAAAGAAAGATATATTTGGATATTTTTTGGCAAGACCACTTTTTTATCGAGTATTTTGGACTGATTAGGTCAGAAGCGGACAGTAAACAGCTTTGGTGGGAAGAAATTCGTGACCTCTTTCGGGTTATTACGATGTTTAAAGCTCTTATTTTGCCCAATGGTAGAGGACCTAGATGTCCTAGATTCTTAGACCTATACCATACCGCAGGTCGATCGGTACAAAAATCACCTGAATCACTCGTGTATATAAATTAACTAATCCAAATCATGTTAAAAAACGTACTACACAATAGCACAG